CAGGTTTCACCCCAGCTTTGAGTCTGGCTGCTCCCTCCTTTCCCACCCCTCCGACACAGCAGCCTGCTCCGCCGTCCTGGCACCAGGCAGGAACTGATAAACATTTCCCCCCTCCCTGATGGCCAGAAGCTCATGGGCTGTGTCAGGCCAGAGTAATGGCTTTGTCTGTGTGTCTCTGAGTTACTGGCAGAGCAGTCCCAGTGCTTTCAGCCCCTGTCTCAGGCCATTCCTGGCTGGCTCCAAGGAACCAGGCCCTGAGCCAGCACCAGTGCCTTTTACAGCCACATTACACAACTCCCTCTCCAGGTTTTTCTTCTTTTCTATGCATAGTTAAGTTTTCCCTCCTGTCTGTGAGGATTGCTAAGACCCCACAGTGGAGCTGGAGGAAAATGCCAGAGTTGAAGCATGAGCCCAGTGGCTGTTACTATACACTGTTCAAGTGGCCAAGACCCCATAAAAACCTTTTCCATATGGAGGGAAAGAAAAAGGAAGCTGTTCCCAGGAGGCTGCTACCAATTCCCAGGGTGCCTCGTGCCAAGAGGAGAAGATTTTCTTTTGTCTCCCAACATCCTTGCCAGAGCTCAGGCTGATTGTGATTAACCTGCTCAGGGATCTGAGTGGGCACCGAGTCCTTCTGTCCCATGCTCAGATCGTGGCTGTAGCACAGCTCTGTGAGCTAAAAGCAACCCTTTCCTCTCCATCTGCTGAGCTCTCAAGGCTCCTTTTCATCTTCTAACTGTAAATAGACCTCTCTGGTGTCACTGAGCCTGCCACAGGCATAGCTAGATAACACATCACACTGATAAGGTAGATGGAAACCACCATAAGGGATCAAACCCAAGGTCAGTCTCTGCTTCCTCTCCATGGCAGAGTAAAGAGAAGCTTGGAAAATAAAAGAACAGGACAAGCACATGGTAAGGCATCTTCAAAAAGATCCCCAAGACTGCAGTAATTTGTGCTCAGAGACCTCCTGATGCAAAATGGTGTCACTTCACTGCATAGTCCTGAATGGATGTTGCTTTTTTGAGTGTTTCCACATAGTTTTTAGAAGCTTGGAAGGTTTCAGCATGATTGTGGACAGGTGGTCTGGAGTTTGGCTGGGCAATCTGTACAGTATCAACTCCTAGGGTTCAGTCCTTGGTAGCTCTTGTGTTGGAAGAGATGATCCCTAACATCAGTAGGTCATTTCTACTATTCACAAGCCACTAAGAGTTTCATAGATCTCTTTCACTTCTGTCCATAATCTCTTGTAAGGCAGAAATGTCATAGTCTGTGCAATCTTTCTTCCTACAGAACATGCTCCAGAACTTTGTTCATGGCTGGAAATTGGGCACCTTTATCACTTCTTCTGTATCCTATCAGGAAGCCCATGGAGTGCACATAATATTCAAGAATGCAAATGGACCTATGCACTGATACATCAATACTTTCTGCTTCATTCTCTCTTCCTTTCTTCATTTATCCCTTCTTAACAACTCCCAACATTTAATGTCTGGGTTTGATCACCACTAAATAATTATTGTAACCCTTAGGTGTTGTTCCCCAGTGACAAGGTCTGATCAGAGGCCACTGCTGTAGATAGATGTGAGCTCATAATTGTTTGGTGGGTTGGGGTTTTTCTCCCCAATTTCTATTCCCTACATGGGTTTGCAGCTGTTCTCACTCACTAATCCATGACAGGAAAGGCTCTGAGGTTTGCTGATCACGTTCAGTGTGCAGGATCAGACCTGGGTGCATCCTCCCAGCATGAAGGAGAGGCTGAAGGTCAGGAGTGTGGCAGATGGAGAGACAGTTAAAACAGAGATTGGATCAGGTGCTGAAGGTGGCCACAAACAATCTCAAAAACAAGGAGTTTTGTTTGAGGGAAAAAATGGAATTATTTATGAACTTCATGCATAAGATCACTTGTGCTGCTCTCTGCTAAATAATACAGCTATGGACATCAGTAACTGTGAAAACTTGTGGTATTACAGCTCTTGTGGGAGAAAACAATGTTTTTCATTGAAAAAAATCTGTCCTGATCGAGGCTGATTTTCTTCATCTTTTGGGAAGCTCAGTTTAATTCCATTTTTTTGCTCTATATGTGCTTTTTTCTCCCTGTACATCCTTGCTGCATTTTTTCAGGCAAACTAATGGTCTGCAAAAGTAACTGTAGGTAGAAATTTCCCTTCAGGAAGCCTCAAACTTGGCTCATTAAGACACACACACAGATAAACAGGATTCAGGTTTTAGTTGCAGTTGTTCTTAAACAAGTTCCAAACCAGATAATAGAACAAGTCAACAATTTAATCACCTTCTCTGTCCTATTAGTGTTAATCACTATTGTGTCCTATCATGGAATAAAGTAAAAGTAACAGCAACAGCATAAGAAAAACTCTTTGTCAGAGAGTTCAATGAAAATCTCAGTTGCAGATTTCAAGAACTGAAGTGTTTTACATTCTTCTGAGCAATAGTTTTACAAAATCTGATTAAAAAAAGAACACAAACACAAGTATTCTCTTTCAAAGGACTTAAACAAGGTTATTTTTCTCCCTTAGAATTAAAATAAAGTTAGTTTCAGCACGTTTTCACTTCACATTGAGATGACCTGGTTTACCTGGTCTATACCTTCACCTCTCTAACCACCAAATACTCTCACCCAGAGGTGAGAGCATCTCCCTGTGAGATGCTTCTCCCTGGGAGCTGTGAAAGTGCAGGACCAACTTCAAGAACACCTTATTTTTAAAGGCTGAATTTTGGAAAGGCAGAATTCATGGCTTGGGTGATGAGATGAAAGCTGCCCCTGGAGGGATAATTCTACAGCACCTTTCCTGTCAGCATTGCAGTGTGGAGGTGGGAAAACAACAAAAATGTCTTAGGAAAGGACAAAATGAGAAGCTGAGGCAGCTGGAGGAGCACATAGCAGATGGGCATTTAGGTTTCCTACAGGGCTACAGCAATCTCTGCAGCATCCTGGAGTACAGACATGACCCCACAGTCTCCATGTGGCTTCATCTCCCCTCAATCAATGCATTTTGGTGACAGCATCGAGCTGTGACATGTCCTGGGCTCCATGTCACCTGCTTGTCTGTCTCCTCACCTTCTCCCCAGACTTCTTCTCTCCTTGTTGTCATCCTCCAGGCTGAGGAAGTTGGGGCTGTTCAGCCTGGAGAAAGAAGGTTGTGTGGAGACCTCAGAGCACCTTCCAGGATCTGAAGGGGCTCCAGGGAAGCTGCTCCCTAACCAAGAGGGACCCTTGACTAGGAACTGCAGTGACAGGACAAGGAGCAATGGGTACAAATTGAAAGAGGGAATTTTAGATTAGATATCAGGAGGTTTTTTCCTGTGAGGGTGGTGAGACACTGTCCCAGGTTGCCCAGGGAGGCTGTGGCTGCCCCAACCCTGGCAGTGTTCAAAGCCAGGTTGGATAAAGCCTTGAGCAGCTTTGTCTGGTGGGAGTTGTCCTTACCCATGGCAGGGGATTGGGGCTGTGATCTCTAAGCTCCATTCCAAGCCCTAAAATTCTATGATTCTCCATGCAGCTGTTTTCCTCCCACCCTTTCTGTTAGCTGCCACTATCCCTTTGGCAGGTGGCTCAAAAGGGCTCTGTGCCCCTGCCACATGCAGGGAAGCCTTTTCTTGCCCAATGCTGGAGTGTTTTGTGAGGATAATCAACTGTGAAAAGCATCACTGGTAGTTGTAGGGAAGAAGCTTAGTGACACAACTCATTTAAAATCTCTCCATGAACTGCCTTTCATATACACACTGAAGAATTCACCCATTTGACAGACCCTCAGCTGTCCCCAGAGTCTTGTCTTGGTGCATATCAGCAGAAAGATGAAAATATATTCCCTGGGTCGATATCCATGGTGGGGTGCTGTGGGAGACTGGGCTAACAGCAGTCGATAGAGCCTTGAAGGCTTGGTGTGGAGTTGATGGAAATGCTTTCAGTTTCAGAGCTGAGCTCCAGCTCATCAAGCAGCAGGAGTTCCCTGGCAAAGCACTGAGCAGGTTTTGCTGCAATTAAATAGCCTATAAATAGCTGAGCTGCATAAGGAATGTGCAGCTATAGCAAAGGCAATGTTTGTTCAGAAAGATCTCATTGCAATCTGCATTTCATAGGATGGTTTGGGTTGGAAGGGACCTTAAGATGAGTTTTCCAACCCCCTGCATTTCATAGGATGGTTTGGGTTGGAAGGGACCTTAAGATGAGTTTTCCAACCCCCTTCCATGGGCAAATAGCTGAGCTGCATAAGGAATGTGCAGCTATAGCAAAGGCAATGTTTGTTCAGAAAGATCTCATTGCAATCTGCATTTCATAGGATGGTTTGGGTTGGAAGGGACCTTAAGATGAGTTTTCCAACCCCCTGCATTTCATAGGATGGTTTGGGTTGGAAGGGACCTTAAGATGAGTTTTCCAACCCCCTTCCATGGGCAGGACAACCTGACCTTAAGATGATTTTTCCAACCCCCTTCCATGGGCTGGACAACCTTGCACTAGACCAGGTTGCTCCAAGTCCCATCCAACCTGGCCTGGAACACTCCCAGGGATGGAGCAGCCACAGCTTCTCTGGGCAACCTGTGCCAGTGCCTCAGCACCCTCCCAGGGAACAATTCCTTCCCAATATCCAATCTAAACCTACTCTCTGTCAGTTTGAAACCATTTCCCCTTGTCCTACAACTACATGTCCTTGTAAAAGTAGAAAAAAAATATCTTAAATTCTCAAAACCACCTTCAGTTTTTCAGCGGAAATGCAAGTGGCAAAAACCTCAGCTGAAAGCCAAATTATCTAGGGGTTAAGTGAGAAGAGACAGCAGTGGAAAGAAAAACAACAACATTTTCTATCTGAAAATAGACAAGTTGTACACCAGGAGGAATTTTCATTGGAACCCATTTTATTTTGGACCAGGAATTTCATAGAAGAAGTTTCCTTTGACACAAAAGGTGGTATAAACATGGTATTTCTTGCATAGGTACTAACCTTTCTTTCTTTCTTTCTTATACTTTCCTCCACTTGCAGCAAGAAAAACAGCAGACACCAAACAAGAGACCCTGGGAAGGCATCAGGAAAGTCCAGTCCCCACCAGCATGGGTTAAAAAGGACATGGAACCTGTGGCACAATCTCCCCTAGAACTAAAAACTGTAGAGTGGGAGAAAACTGGGGCCACCATCCCCTTGGTGGGACAAGACATTATTGACCTTCAGACAGAGGTCTGAGCAGAAAGGAAAGAAAAAAGACTTTTTGTTTTTTTCTGGCAAACAAACGAAACAAACAAAACAAAACCCACATTTTAAAGAAATGCTTAAATTAAATGGGAACAGAGCAAGAGAAGTGTTTGGTTTCTTGTGAAACCTTTGGTAAGATGGAGTAACTTTTGTATTGTTCTCAGCAGAGAGGGGGAATATTACTTTATAGAGTATAGTAGCTGTAGGTTCAGGACAACACGAGCTTTCCCAGGTAGGACTGGAGAAGAAGAGCCTGGAAGAGAGCGAGGAGGAGGAGGAGGAAGAGGGTGGGGAGGGGCTGCAGGGGACAGACCCTGCTGAGATGCTTTTGGGTTGCTGCTGCACACCAGGAGTGTTCCTGCTCTGCCACGGGGAGGTGTGGAAGGACACCCAGCAGCCACCACCAAGGGCCAAGAAGATTGGGGTTGTTTGGGGCCCACCAGAGGGGACACCTGCAGGAGCCTCGCTGGGATGTGTTCTGGCTGGGGGACACCCAGCCTTGAGGGGCCGTGGCATCTCTTGCTGATCCTCACCCCACCTCGCCCTCACCTGCTCATCCAAGAAGGAAGGAGATGGGATATGCCAAGCAGTGGCCAAGAAGACATTCCCACTCCTGTGTGCCACACCATGACCTGGCATCGTGGCAACCCCACAGCAGGTCCCCACGGAGCCTGGAGGGGAAGGTGGTGTCATCCATGGCTCAGGTGGAGAGGTAAGGTGAGGCTTCCTCCTCTCATCCCTCCACAGAGGAGCTTCTGCACACCCTAAGGAGTGGGACAGGCACAGGAGGACAGAACCAGCTCCAAATCTTGCTCGTCCTGTCTCCAGGGAGAGGGTGGAAGGTGTTAGACCAACAAGAAGAATGTAGGTCGTTTCATTGACTGTTAAATAGATAAACTCAGCATGGGCCTTGCAAAGGTCCTCTTGGCCTCATCCTTTTTTTTTTTTTTTCTGTTAGTTTTCCTTGCTTTTGGACTCAGATTGATTCCAAGCTGCCCCTCCCTGGAAGGCAGAGAGAGAAAGAGGGAAAGACAGATCTGCCAACCGTACCTGGAGTTATTGGTATACAGAGACGTTGCCTTAGGACATTGAGACAAACTGACAACATGAATAACGTCCACTTGGAAACAAACAAAACAAAAAAAAAAAACAACAAACAAAATAATCTATTTTTTTCCTTCTTCTTTTCTTTTCTTCAATAAAAAGAGAACTTGAAACCCGAGACCTTTCTTTTCTTTGGCTCTTGTCATTTCGAATGCCTTTCCGTGCCGTAGGACTGCTCAGGCATGGGGTGAGGATGCCACCTGCTGAAGGTGGAAGGCAAGTCTCTCCATGGAAAGTTTGGGATGGTGGGAAAACACAGCCCTTTCAGCACTGGCTTGCAATGTTTTGCTTTGTTTAAGTCAGTTTGGGGCATTGGTTATTTCCCCCTCGCTGGTTCTTCTCCTCCCTCCTCACTGCCCAGAGCCAGCGAGAAGGTTTGTGGTCCTACAAGAAGGAAGAGGTGGAGCTGATCAGGAGAGCAGGACATTCCTCCTCATCAGATTGTCTATTTTCATTTCATCATGAGAAACCCCTCAATTTTAATTTTTTTCATGAAACATTTCTCCAGGCTAATTACATAGGATTTTACATTTCACCCCCAAAAGTGTTGTGCAATATATTTATCATTAAGAACTACAACACTGACATTACATACAGACTTCAGATTTCTATTACTATCATTTTTATCATTCCCAGCACTCTCTGTCTGGTATTTGGAACAACTCTTCCACTTTTGGAGATGGGTGGTGACCAACCTCTGGTTGTGAGTCACTAGATTATACCAGGCAGCAGTAGAGCTTGAGCAGGGTCTGAATTATTACTGTGTGGGTCTCTTTGTTGAAAAATATCAAAAACAAAACAAAAAGAAAAACCACATTTTTAGGGAAAAACTACCAGTGGATACAAGATGCAGAACAATCACTGCCCCCAGTTGTGCTTCCCCCACCAAGAGATGTTGCTTGATGTGCAAACATCTCTGTTTCAGCTTCCCTTTGGGCCACCTGGGAGGTGTCTAAGGACAGTGGCATTGACTTGGCCATTAACTGTATCATACAAAGGATGGAAAGGAAAACTTAAATCCAAATAGTTCAACGATAGGGAAAGCGATTCCTTATAAAACTGTGATATTATTGTTGAGTTTTAGCTTACCAGGAAAGCACAAAGGCCTCCCTGTGGGTTGTATGATATTGTAATTACTATAATTACACCTGATGAATTTTAGCATACAGATAAATTTCTACTGTGTTTTAACCCTTTTCTCTTTTATTTTTCCCTTCCCCTGCTCACCCAAGCCTGCCCTCTTCACTCCAACCTTCCCCATCCACCCATCCACTTTGCAGGACATTAATGTTATGTAATTACAGAGCTAAATGTTTGTTTCAGAACTGTTGATATTCGACTTTCTCTGCTCAGCTCCTCCGGTGAATTCTGTTTTCCCACGCCCTGCCCCATGCCATGCCTTCTTCCCCTTCCTTCCTCTCTGTGTTGGTCAATTATTTTTTTTTCCTGTACAGTTTTCAGAGCACAAAATGAATGTGTCTTATTTCTAATAAAAGAGGTGGAAACTCTAGCCCTGTCTGCTTTTTACAAGCTCCCCCTTGCCCCTGCCCCACGTGGGGTTTGCATCCTGCCTGGCTGCTGGGAAACACCTCTCCTGGACACTCAAGCTGCCACCTTGGCTCTCCAGTTTGGGGGAGCCATAGCCTGGGGCCAGACTTACTCCATGAAAGCTTCTTTTGTTTTTATGCATCTTCTTGATACCCCCAAGAAATCTCTCCCTTTATGATGCACATTCCCAAGGCTTGAGGAATTCCCTTTCTGTGCAGCTCAGCCTGTTGCACTGCAGAGTTCTCTAACCCACACCCTGATGGCTCCTCCCCAGTATCGTATGATGTGAAGGACTGAGGTTTAACACAGGTCTGGGAGTATTCCTGGCTGGGTTAGTTTCCATCAGGACTAGGGCAGTGCTGATGCTCCCCTGCCTGCATCACTGCAAAACCAATCACAGAATGGTTTGGGTTGGAAGGAACCTTAAAGATCATCTCATTCCACCATCTGCCATGGGCAGTGACACCTTCCACCAGCCCAGGTTGCTCCAAGCCTCATCCAACCTGGCCTGGAACACTCCCAGGGATGGGGCAGCCACAGCTTCTCTGGGCAACCTGTGTCAATGCCTCCCTCACAGGCAGGGATTTCTTCCTAATATCTAGTCTAAATCTACCCTTCTTCAGCTTAAAGCCATGCCCCCTTGTCCTATCACTACAAGCCCTTGTAAACAGACTCTCCAACCTTCCTGTTGGCCTTCTTCAGGTATTGGAAGATTCAATCTCATCTGGATTTCCCAGCCACCTCCTGCATGACTAGGCAGGCTGTGAGCAGGAGGACAGCTCAATGCACAGGGAGTTAAGGATATCACTCATAACAGGTAACAAGAAATTAATCAAGCAATGAATTATTCACTGCCTTGGTGCTTACCCTTGAATGGCTGAATGCTTCCAGCAAGAAAATGTGTCCTTATCTCCCTGTCTCTGCTCCATCACACCTGATTGACAGACTGTATAGGCAGGACTATAGGCTCCATCACACCTGATTGACAGACTGTAGGTCTACAGGCAGGATTATAGCAGGCTTAGGGCTTGGGCAAATGAGCTCCAGGTGCTCTCCAGAGCCTTCATCCAAAGCCATCATGGCCCAGTAGGTCCCTAGACGTAATTACCTTGCTTGGCCTGACAAATGAACTGGCTATCCTGAAACATCTGGAATGATTACAGAGGTGTGGGGCTGCCTGGAGGCTTTTAGCCCATATTCCCTCCTTCCCTGAGCTATGATCCAACCCTTCTTCTATCAGCAGTGCCTGATGGTGAGTCCCAGGACTTCTACATCCTTCCTGCTGCAGTTTTTCACCCTACATCTCCCATACCATACTCCTTGATGGACTTCATGGTGCTTGGTTAATGGTTGGACCCAATGATCCTAGAGGTATTTTCCAACCTAAATGATTTGATGACTGTGTAGCATGAGCAGGCAGAAGGGAAATAGCATCAGGCATCACATGAGGTGATGTGCCAACAGGGCAGGAGAGCCCAAACCTCATGTCACAGCCATAGAGTTGGGTCAGGAAGTCCTCCTGCTTCTCACCAAAGCTGGAGGGAGGGGGAACTTGTCCCCACTGTGTTCCTGGGACTGTAAATAACAGCACTATCAGAGGTGGTGGATGCAGGAGGTCAGTGTATGTATAGGTGGTTTGGGTTTGCTCTGTGGTTATTTATGTAGTGTGGCTGCAAAGGAGAGTCCCTGGATAGTTCAGCTTGGAAAGAGACACCTGAGATCTCTCTGAACTCCCCTAAATCCCTGTGATCCTCTCTTGCAGTCACCCAGATTATAGCCACAAGGCAAGGAGACAACACTGTACACCTGGGGAGACCTCACTGCAGCCTTCCAGTTCTTAGAGGGAGCTTATAAAAAGAAAGAGAACTTTTTCATGGGCAGACAGTGATAGGACAAGGTTTTAAACCAAAAAGAGGAGAGTTAGAATAGATGACAGGAAGAAAGTTTTTACTCAGAGTGTGGTAATGCACTGGCACAGGTTGCCCAGAGAAACTGTGGATTTTCCATCCCTGGAAATGTTCAAGGTCAGGTTGGATGGGGCTTGGAGCAACTTGGTCTAGTGGAAGGGGTCCCTGCCTGTGGCAAGGGAGTTGAAACTAGATGGTCTTTAAGGTCCTTTCCAAACTAAACCATTCTATGATCCTACATACACCATGACTTCAAAAGGAGGAAGTAAAGCCACACTGCAGATGTGCATAAATGTTACATTGTACATGTAAGAAATCACAGGTCTTAGTTGCTATGCTGAAAAAAAACCCCCATGGATGAGCTGGAAAATTGAGAAGAATGTGAAAATTAAAGAAAACGCAAAGCATGTGACAGATGCACTTGATCCCTTGACCAAAC